ATGTATATGTCATGAACCTTGGGGATAGCCGTGTGATTTTGGCAGAAGAAAGACCAAATGATTGCCATCCAAATCCAAAATTTGCGAAGGATGATTTAAAGTATAGAAATAGATCTAGAGAGTTGCTAGGACGTATGGAGCTGGACAGAATATCAGAGGAGTCTCCTAAGCAAAACCAACATGGTCCAGTTAGCTTACTGAACAAGAACAGGGACCTCTCTATCTGCAGATTGAAGATGAAAGCAGTTCAACTTTCCACTGACCACAGCACAAGTATTGAAGAGGTATGCTACTGCTTTATCAACAAGCTAAAATTGATTTTTATATATTTTGGACTTCTGACGATATTCATCATAAATATGTCCTTATAAAACGTGATATAATATATATATATATATATATATATATATATTTTGGGTGAGAATATACATTTATGGCACATGATTTATAGGAGGAAGTGACAATTGAATTTCGAGGGATATAGCTATTGCAAAATGTTTTAAGCATTTATATATCTGATTTGGATTTAATGAAGTCAAATTTGCATCATAATATCAGACCACTTTCAATTAAACACCTTTATTCTTATGGGATTTATTGGATATTTTGATCTTAACTGGTTCCACTATAAAGTGCACTTCTGCTAGGCACTATAAGTTGGTGAACTGAAAAATGGGGGGGGGGTCATTTGCTCATATGGTGGGTTATCTTCCTTTAGTGGCCTTGATCTGGTTGTTTTGCCAATGACCTCGTCCCTGGATATGCATTCAGTCTGAATGTCAAAGATAAATGTTCAATTCATTAAGATCCAAGATGATTGCTTCAGATATTATTTGGCTTATAAGAACTTGGGTAAAACACACCAAGTTTATATTTGTCAGACAAGAAATAAATTCACATGTCATCTAGAGAAAAATAACCTGTTCTTGATTGTCTATGGCAGGAAATCTTAAGAATAAAGGCAGAGCATCCTGATGATGACGGATCCTTTTCAAATGATAGGGTGAAAGGGCAATTGAAAGTCACTAGAGCATTTGGGGCTGCTTTCCTGAAGAAGGTGAGGATCTTTAATTGTTATATTAATTTTCTCTCATTTGAGATTTATAATAAGTAGAGAAGATAAAATAATAAAGCCTGTGATGCTTTTGTGTGAAATAAATACAGTCTGACAGAATTTTTATTGTACTTTTGGTTCTTGCTCTCTCTTTCTCAGTTTTGTAAGCAAGGTAACCTGTTATAGTATTTTACTATTTGACTACCACTAGAATTTCTTTCAGTATTTTAAATATTAGCAAGCTCAATGAAGTTGATAGTTATTTGTGTAAAATTTTCTACTGAATACATAAAATTGATCTTCTTATTGTCTGTGGTGCTCAATATATCAGTTGATTGTCTATCTGCAAATTGATGGTTTAGTATATATCGCCTAGAAGTTGCATGCCTACATTGTACTACTTAAACTATCAGCCAAAGTATAGCCAAGTTTTGTGTGCACTGTCGTATACTTAAATTTAAGTTCTTGCTAAGGTCATTCCGTCAGTAGTTTCTACCTCCCTCTTCTTTTTCTCCTCAATTACGTCTGGGATCTCATCAATCCTCTTCTGGCAGTTCAAATTCCAAATCACAAGCCTGTTACTGGTGTTAATTATCATATCATATCTTATAAAAGAAGCTGCTTAAGCTGTATGCTTTGATAATTAGGCCAAAGGTTTTCTAATGGCATTTATTAATGAGCGCTCAATCATAGTTGTTTCCTTTATTGCATTTAGAGACTGCAACTTTTTACTGAAGTAAAACATGGGATCAAATTGGGGAGTGCTATTAGCTTTTCATCAATTTGCTGCATACCATGTTCATTAGGACCGATCTGTTTTATTCGTTGTCTTTCTACACTATTTCGTTGATGTTGAAAATGATTGGTTCTTTGCTGATTTCACTTGTTGTGTTCAGCCAGCTTGTAATGAAGCTCTGCTAGAGATGTTTCGGGTTGATTATGTGGGAAACACTCCTTACCTTAGCTGCATCCCCTCTGTTGTTCACCATCGGCTCTCCTCTAGTGACCGATTCTTGGTACTATCATCTGATGGACTTTACCAGTATTTCAGCAATGAAGAGGTTGTTGCCCATGTGACATGGTTCATGGAAAATGTTCCTGAAGGTGATCCTGCACAATACCTTGTTTCAGAGCTTCTATTCCGTGCTGCCAAAAAGAATGGTATGATTATCGATTATACCTTCTATTCTTGTGGTTAGATGCATCTGGATAATCAGATACGGTTTGAGAGGAAAAAATTCAAAAAGAAAAAAAAAAGAAATGCAAAATATGGCATTTTCATTTTTCATGTGGTTAGAAGTTAGAACATAGATGTAGCTGCATTTGACCTTTATTTCCTTCCTTCCTACTCCAGTAAGGGATGGATTTAGATTCCATCGAGCGTTCCGAATCATATCAATGCAATATATGGAAAACCATGTCTTAATTTGAACCTCTGTTTTTCACATATTTTAATGATGGGAATTTGTTGATTTTTGCAGGAATGGATTTTCACGAATTACTTGAGATACCTCATGGTGATCGGCGTAAATATCACGATGATGTTTCGGTTATGGTTGTTTCATTGGAGGGAAGAATTTGGAGGTCTTCTGGATAATGTTTTATTTTTCCTTCCCTTTTTTTCATTTTATTGACACCTTTGAACAATTTCCTCAACAATGGAATCTTTTTCAAGCAAGGGTTGAATCAATCATCCATTACAGAAATGAAAGATAGAATCTTAGTCTCAGCAATTTCAGATATGTTTAGTTGCACAATCACATGAATGATATGATATATTCTATCCAAATATATGTAAAATGAGCAATGGCGCCCCCACCACAGTTCACTTTTCTGCCATTAATGTTCCAACATAGAAGCTTTTTTCTACCTTGATTTTAATTAAAGCCCAAATGCAGCTAACTACTCCAATTATCTTGTAAATGTTGTAACGTGAAGCCACTGCAGACAAGACAATTCTACTAGAAGAAAATGAAACTTCATAATTGTTTTTTTTTATAAATAAACTCATTGAGAGAGTATGCTTAGTTCAAAATAAATCTTTTCAATTTGATTATTAACCAAACTGATTATAATTTAAATTAACCAATGGGGTTGATTCAAGGGGGTAAACACTTGATATCACTTAAGCAATGTTTCAGGTTTGAATCCTTGAGTATATATATGTGTTATATATACTTTATATATTATATACCTAATGTCATAAATTTTAGTCATATTTTCATATTCTCAGAAGAGGTGACGTATACAAGCCATTTTTTTTTATCTCTATGTGAGTTGTATGTTTGTAACAATAGGGATAAATTTCTTCAACTCCAACGGACTAGGTGTATTATGCCTATTTTTTTTTGAGTTGGTTCATGTATTGAATGATCTGTTCAATCTATAATTTATTAAATCTTTATATTACTAATTGAAATCTTTTTATCCCCAACTGCGGACAAATTTTAATACAAATAATTTAGGATAAATTATAAAAATATAAAACTAATTTGAAAAAAAGGAAAACTAATCAACTTAACATACACACTGACTACTAGGGGTTTAGGTAAAAAAAAAGAGTTAAAAAAATTGGCTCTCTTAAGGGCTTTCAAAAAGGAGTCCTATCTGAAAAACAGAAGAAAATAATAAATCATGCTTATAGGAGGAGCAAAAAGAGAGGCGAAGCAGTAGAAATTCGAGCTTGAAGATTGATTCGTAACTGATTTAGATCTCCATGTAAGATGGGTAAACGTCATTAACAAAGCAAAAGAGGTAAAAAAAAAATTTGGGGGGAAACCCTAAACCATAACACTAATAATCAGGGTCAAGGATTGTTGATTTTCTTTGTTCATTTAGACAAATTGGTGGTGTTCTGTTCTTAAATTAAAGGTAGGGTTGTTTCCTAAAGTTTAGCCTCCTTTCTTGGGGGCCAGCTTCTGTGATTGTAGGATTCAACAGTCAGTTCCCTGGAACACAATCGATTGCTGCCATTTTGTTTACATCAACACCACCAATGCCAAATGATGTCTTGACCAAGACCTTCCAAGTTGGGGCCAAAGGAGTTATTAAAATGAGAAACAAGCTTGCCCCCAAGAAAGGTCTTGGTGTTAATCTCTCCAAATACCATGACCATGCTAGTCTTGGTGAACGTTTCACGTGCAGGCATCAAGCACTGCATCAGAGACCTGGTCACAATGCTTGTCAGGGTGACCCACGTTCACTGACTCAGATGTGAATAGAAAGGTCTCCATTTGTAAGCCTGCACACGATTAATCCACAAACACATCTAAATCAGCCTGATCCTAAGCATAATTTTAAGCATTCATAATGGTATAAGATACCTGGAGAGAAACAAGTTACAGATCCAATAGATATTACTAAAAACTGAACTTTGTAGTAAACTCCATATATTTGTCAGAAACTAAAATGCTAAAACTCCAAAACAAACAGAAAATCGCACAGATATGAGAATGCTTCAATTAAGCTTGTCTAAAAAAGAGACAAACAGATAAAACATTTTTTTCTGCGGCTACTACAAACAACAAAAACTACAAAGCAAAGCAAAGAACAGAAAAAATATAAATGAAAGGGCAGAAGATACAAACTTACGGATCGGAGTCTTCGGTTGCGAGAGGAGAGAAGACTTAGCTGAGCTGAGCAGACAGACCTCTAAAGAAGCGGAGAACTCAATGGACACAGGAAATCTAGCCTCGAACGCGAACATTTTATAGCACTGTTTGTTTGGTTGGGTTGAAAAAATTTCCTATTGCGGTGAGCGTGGATCGAACACGCGACCTTCAGATCTTCAGTCTGACGCTCTCCCAACTGAGCTATCCCCGCTAGTTGTTGTACGTTGAAACAAATAATTTATTACTAGTTTTTATAAATTAGATTGTTTGAGTTCTTTGACTATAAATACATAGAGTTCCGTGTCTGTTTCTTATATTAGATTGTTTGAGTTGTTTGTATAGTTATAAAAGATCGTCTCCATCTTCAACAACACAATCGATCCGCCTGCGTTGCAATGGGAAAGATTCAATCTTTTAAGGACGAATTCACTTTTGGTTTGCTTCTTCCCTTAGAATACACTTCTTTCTAAATATGTTCCTCTTCTTAATTTAATTTCTTCTTTCTTCTAAATTAATTCGCAGACCAAAGGCTCGAAGAATCTCGCGATATCATCGCTAAATATCCCAATCGCGTACCTGTAAGTTTTCCTAATCGATCTCTATCCACGTTACTTTTGATTAAACCCTTTTGTTTCCTGATTTCTGACTCGTTTTTTATATAAATATTATAATTTTTTTTTAATTTATTGAGTTTGTTATCAAGATTTAATGTTGTTTATAGATTAGATGAACTTAATTCCTTCTTCCCCTCCATGGATTATGGGTCCTATTAAAAAGAATTAGTTGATAATTGCTAAAAGACGGTTCTCTAACCTTTATTTTCCCCTCATTTTTGTAGGTGATTGTGGAAAGATACTCAAAATCAGATCTTCCTGAAATGGAAAAGCAAAAGTAAGTTTCAGCCTTGGCCAATAAACAATTTGACCTTAATTGCGTGCTTTTATTGTAAAGGAACAAACTTTACCTAATGCAGTAAGGCACTTATAGCACAAATTCTATAATTGCCAAAAAAAAATGATCACTGAGGAGCATATCAAAGTTTAAACTTCAGTCTTAATTCGATGTTGAAACTTTGATTTCTTGTTAAATGATATGAGGGCGGATCAAATTTGTGCTCAACTGTTTGATTTATAGGTATCTGGTTCCACGGGACATGTCTGTCGGACAATTCATTCATATTTTAAGCTCGAGGCTTCGTCTGAGCCCTGGGAAAGCACTCTTTGTGTTCGTGAAGGACACATTACCACAAACAGGTAAGTCACGATAAGATTTTGTTATATTTCTTTCAAAATGATTCTATGGTGTTTGACATTTTCTGAGTTTTCTGCTACAACCCTTGTTCGCAGCCACTCTTATAGACTCTGTTTACGACTCGTACAAAGAGGACGACGGGTTTCTGTATATGTGTTACAGCAGCGAGAAAACCTTTGGTTGTGCTACTAATCTGATTACTCGGCCATAAGCTTTGTGCGATACTGTAAAATCTCTTGGTTCCCTTCTGTCTTTGGATGATGGGTCTTGACTGTCAAAGCTCGGCCTGGTATTTTGGTGTTGTAGCATCTTTTAACCATCATTCATTCTGTAAGTGTCCTAATAACATTTAATTCGTTTTACTAGTTATTGTTATCAATGTGTACGAACTTGCACCCAAATGTGTAACATTGGTGTAAGTTTCCAGTAATCTATGTATATTGCTTACAAATAAGTAAAACTTGTGGAATCCTGCATTGGTTTTATGTGTTTTAATTTCGACCTCGCAATCCTGCTTAAGTGATGCTGGATTTTGTTGTCTAGTGGGAAAACAACTTGTAAATCACTTCAGTATCCGTACTACGGCCTTAGGACAAAGCTATCCGAGTGTATTCCCATTCTTCTGGCGCTGAAAACTCGATCACTTTCAAAAAAACTTGGGCCGTTTCCCAAGAAAAGTTGTCCCCCCCCTTTGGATGTATCTCTTAGGAAAATAGTTTCTTACTTCCTCCCTTCTTCCAAACACCCCGTACATTAAATGCTCTACTGGAGCTTTGGCTGCTGTCAGGCTTGTTATCTAGTGCCTCAGGTTCAGGGTCTGTCTCAGAATCTTTTGGATCCAATAGAGCTGCCATTGAACCATCACTAAGCCGTAATCTGTGAAATTTTGAAGTTTTCTTTCGTTGCTTGCTGCTTCCAACCCCATCCCCTGGTCCAGCTTTAGCAGATGATGAGTCATTTTGACCCCCAATTTTTATAGAGGGTTTATTGGTAGAATTCAATTCAACATGCTGTTCATTAAAACTTAACCTTGAATTTCCTTTAGCAGGGCGGTAATCATCCTTTGATAAAATTTTCACACCTTCCTCATAAGGCTTATAACTTGACTTCAATTTGCTGACACTTCTTTTATTACAATCGGCCACTGTATCCTTCGAATTTCTGCCTGTGGTATCCAGAGACTTCCCTTTCCATTTCTTAGATGCATTATTATCCTTAAACCAGCCTCGGCCTTGGGCCTCACCATTCACGTGCAGACCGTTGCTTTGCAAACTAGCATTATAGGTCTCAGTTAGCTCATTTTGCTTCTGAGAATCAGGGCAAAGTATAGCCAGGTCAAGAACTAGATGTGACAAACCATACTGTTGAACACAATCCAAATATCTGCTTGTGCCTATTAAGCCCTGACGATACCACCCGGATATTTCTTTGAAAGCAGTGTATTTTTCTTCATCATTTTCAAGCGCAGCTTGCATCTTTTCCACCAAAGATTTATTGGATGAATGAACATTTACCTTGTGCATCGCCACCTGGCTGCTTGAGGACTGCTTATGCCTTTGTGCAGCAGAAACAGGAGGAAAATCAGAAAGGGAGGGTTCTGAAAATCCACCATCAGTAAGATTTGGAGCTGATGAGTGGTTGATCCTACTTGTGTTTGCAGCACTCATTCGAGAACCAGATGCTTTTAATATATCTGCTGTTGTGGGATGAGACTGAACCTGAATATGCACATGACTTGAACTTCCATAACTCAACTGCGGAAATCCATTACTATTTCCAAGTGAGGTTGTAGCTGCAACATTTGTTTCTGGTCTGACCTGACTTGTTGCCAGCCATTCTTGGGCAGAACTCAAAACATTTGTATTCCCATTCTTCTGGCGCTGAAGATGTGCTGCCATGGTATTAACAGGCAAGCCATCAGGTCTTTGTTTAGGAATTTGTTTACTGTTGCTGGAAGGAGTTGAGAGAGGAGGAAAATAAGTTTCATGCAAAGGTACACCTCTAGAGCCTCTCCCCAATGCTTGAAGGTATCTAGAAGATGATTCAGAATCTGTTGCAGATAATAATTCAAAAGGCTGAACAAGGGAATCAATATCATTTATGTCTCCATGATCAGAGACCATCTGCGTAGTAGATGATGCTAGTGGGTTATTGGCTGTCTCCAAACTTGCCTCGATGGTCATGGAAAGTTGATAGTCATCATCAGGTGGCTCATGCCGAGACATTCGCTCCCTTCTACGACGGTAATCATCATTTCTTCGACGAAATCGAAAGCTTGTTGGTATCTGGAAAAGTATAATTAATTAAAAGAACAACAAAGAAGCAACCAACCCATCTACAAAAGGATACATTCGAGAGAATGAAATAGGGAAATGCTACTCATGCGTCCACAACTTAGCAGGAAGATACATACTTGCAAAGCAGCAGTACGCTGTGCACGAGACATGCGACCTCCATGTTCAATGGTATTATGCCGCTGAAAGGACAAAAGGGTGCGGGGGATGTATATGAGAAAAATAAAATATATGCTTTACTAAGGACACACTCAAATAATAAAAATAGCACTATTTATATGACCCAATGAGTCACCTTTAGTTCAGCTTCCGACTGAAAGACGATAAATTTTTTGGCTAGGCAAGCCTCATCCTCGCATAAGTAATGATCTTGGCGAAAATGAATCTGTGGCACACAATTTTCAAAATTCCATTAACTTTACGAAAATAAAAAGAAAATAAAGAAAGAAAAAGAAATGTAGAAATCATCTTGCCTCAAGGTCATCATAGTTCTTGTAATATTCATAATGTCCTGGATGCTGTCTGCATTGTACAGTGAACAATCAAAACTAAGCCCACTTGTTTTAAAGTGTATTCTAAAAAGGTATACCAGGAAGAGACTCACTACCTTTGGCATATATGACATGTATAGTGCTCTGTGGACATGTGTGAGTATAACTCGTTGTCCCCATAGAATGGGGTCTTGCAGAATTCACATATCGGATGCCCCATGAAGCCACCTCTCTCACTCTCAGTTCCATCCACCTCTGAGTCACCCGTGTTTATATGTTGGTTTAACTGCGCCCTTGTATATAGCTTTTGTTCACAAATAAACACCTACATTGTCCAAAAGAAAGCAATTAAATAATTGATGCATACACGACACTTTTTTTGATCGACAAACAACCGACTCATCAACAAGGAACAATGCTCCACAAGGGTCATACTTCATTCAGAACTGTAATATAAAATGCTAGAGATAATTAACTTTACCTTCCGTCCTTCCAAACACAGGTTGCACATAACCAATCTGTGTTGATGAAACAAATGAGCTTTCAATTGTTCAATGTTCCTAAATTTTCCCCGCCTCTTCACTCCATCATTGGCCTGCTCTTCCAATTTGTCACATACAATACAAGAAAGCCTGCACATTGCCTTGATCATCCTGTAGTGATCAACATCATCAAAAAACGCTTGTGTATCCTCATGGTACCAATATGAACGAATCCAGCCTTCCCTTACTTCAGTTGGCAGTACTGAAAAATCATTGATCATCCTCGTGTAATCCCCTAAAGCCTGTAACAACACCAGAATCACAAAAATAAGACCTATCCTCCAAAGACATTATATGTACATGCATGTGTTATATAAGCAACAGACGAATTTGTACTTGGCTTAGTGAACGTCATCTAAGAACAGAGGTTCGAATGAATAAGCTAACTAAATGGGTAAAAGCGATATCGAACTCTGTAATTACGGTAGACTCAATTCGAAATCTACATTGGTGATCAAAGCACAAAGATGGAAGCCCTAACCTTAGTGACAAAGATGACGTGTGACTCGGTCTTGCAGATGCAGCAGCGGCGATCGTTGCAGGTGAAGCGGAGACGAGCAACACACGTGGAACACACGTCCCGGTGACCACAGACGCCGTAGGCAACCCATTCCAAATTGTCAGCACAAACTGCACAGCTGTCGTCCATCTCAGTTTCTTGATTATATTATCTGAAACCCTGATTGAACTACCCGATCGATCAGAAATTGAGATTTATAGTGGTTGTGTACTTGTGTTTTAGTTGATGGCGTGAGATTTGGATGATAGGAGGAATCTAGGAAGTTACCAGCCGGAAACTTGGAAGGCGAGAAATAAAAATGCGTAATGCAACAAAAAAAAAAATATTAAATAGTAGCTTTAACTTTTATTCTTTATTTTTAAAATATTTTAAGTTAATATTTTAATATAAGATAAAATATATATTTTAAATTATTGATAATTTGTTAATTAATTTTGTTATTCGTATAGAGAATTTTTTTATTTTAAAATGAAAGATTGAGGTCAAAATGTTTTCAAAAGATAAAGATTAAAGTTACTATTTCTTATTAAATAGAGAGTATTATATTTCAACACTAAATGCCACGATTTGAATTTACACGAAATGAAACAATATAGATATTTTTAATTTTTCGATCAATTGATAAATCTCAAAATTAAAATTATTATTTAATAAAACGATATGGATATTTTATAATTATGACTGAACAATTCAATAAATATAGTTTTTTTTAATTAAAAAAGTTTGGTATGAGTTGGAAAAGAAAGTCAGCGTACTTGCTGAGCAAGTAAGATCGTAGCAAGGAAGGAAGTTTGGTCGTGAAAAGGGCAAAGAGAGAGAGTTTTGACCTTGAAAAGAAGATTTGATATTCATCAATTTTGGTCAAAATAAGGAGGCAAGGCAGATTACATCCCACCCCATTTGGTAATGTAATCGCAACTTGCTGCTATGGCAAGGCATAACTACTGCTTCTGCATTCTTCAACATTCATTTGATTGACCAGTCAGTGGTAGGTTTCAATTTAGCCGCACATGCGCTAAAAATGCTTTCTACTATCGTTGTTAATACTTGGTTCGATAAAATAATTAGAGGATAAATATATTGAGCTTAGAATGTATTTCTGCTCATATATTCTTTTACCGTTTATGTTTGATTCGTATTCATTTAAATTTTAATATCATTTCGTGCTCATTTGTTTATTTTTTAAAGTGTTCATATTCATTTTATTTAATATTTACGAGCTTATCCATTTAACATTCGCAAACATTTTCGCTACACGCCCTCTTTTTATCATTTTTTTACAAGCCAAAGAAAAATATGAAAATATGCCACTAGTCCTTAATTTTTTTAGATTTTATAATTTGAAACTCTAAAGTTTATCAAGTGTTCAATTTGGTCTCTACCGTCATTAATATTTAAAACATAAAAAATAAAAGAAAAAGAGAATCGAACAAAAGAGCTTTCAAACGAGTTTATACGGAAAATGGAAAGTATGCGTTTTGGGCCTCCAACGTTCAATCCGTGTCAAGTTAACCTTAAAACCACGAAGAGACATGATTGGATCTTTAAGTTTCATTTCTCATTACGAAAGCTCCGCTCTTCTTCTGGAGTTAGTTCGAGCGAAACAAATATGAACATCATCAAGGTGTAATAATTCATCTCGGGTAGATATTTTCAGGAACTCTTCAAAAAGATAAAAAAAAATCAATTTTCTTGTTAACAATACAAAATTTAAAAAAATAAATCCTAATCCATCCATATTCATAACCCCAAATCCAACTACTATAAATGGCTATGTTTTTAAAAAATTCCATGGAACTCATTACCTTGATGAGACGAATTCCAATATACATGTTGCTGACCGTTGTCCAATTGCTATAAATGATTAGTTTATTTTAAATTATAAGGGAATTTATCACTTCGACGTGAAGAGTTTCAAAGTTTTTTAAATTTATTATATTTTTTAAATTAATTACTGAATTAAAAAAAAATACTTTTTATTGACGTGATGAGTCCATGAAAATATATTATAATATTGACCCACATGGGACTCACTTACTTTTGACCATTTAAATATATTTTTCGAGTAAACTCATCACGTCGAGAGGAGAAATTTATCTTTACACTGTAAATTATAAAATAAAAGTCTGTTCGACCTGATGTACTAAATAATTAGCCCGTCTGACCTAATGAGCCCAAAAAAACCTTAGAATTCTCTGGTTTATAAGGCCCAAATATAATAAACACAACCACCTAACACTTTAGAGGAACAAAGTTACTATCAGCTCCTCCTAACACTCTGATAAGTAAAGCCCAAAAGTGACAAATAGCATGGGCAATTACATACTTTGAAGCCCCTTAAATACCCTACTTTCTCATATTTTACCAACGCTTCTCTTATTTTGGAAACCTAGCCGCTATAACTTCTGCCCTAATTTTCCCTTCCGCATCTTCGCCTGGCTCCAAGATGCAGATCTTCGTCAAAACCTTGACGGGGAAGACCATAACCCTAGAGGTCGAGTCTTCGGACACCATCGACAATGTCAAAGCTAAGATTCAAGACAAAGAAGGAATTCCACCTGACCAACAACGCCTCATCTTCGCCGGGAAGCAGCTGGAGGACGGCCGCACCTTAGCCGACTACAACATCCAGAAGGAATCCACTCTCCACCTTGTCCTCCGTCTCAGGGGTGGCGCTAAGAAGAGGAAGAAGAAGACCTACACCAAGCCCAAGAAGATCAAGCACAAGAAGAAGAAGGTCAAGCTCGCCGTGCTCCGGTTTTACAAGGTTGATGAGTCCGGGAAGGTTCAGAGGCTGAGAAAAGAGTGCCCTAATGCCGAATGCGGAGCCGGGACTTTCATGGCTAATCATTTCGATAGGCACTATTGCGGTAAGTGTGGCCTCACCTACGTTTACCAGAAAGCCGGTGGGGATTGAGTAGGGTCGGGTTCCACCTTTGGTTTGGGTCCTACAAAAGAATTCGATCAGTATGGGCATTAGCGTTTTTTATTTCAGTAATTGTCGAACCTTTTAAATTTTTATGTTTCATTATGTTATGATGCTTGGGATATGTTTTTGGAGTTGTTTTGATTTAGAATATGATATTTTTCTAAACAATTTTGTTTGTTTTTTATTTGATTGGCTTCTTTTTTGTGTTCTTCTTTGGCTTTGGGATTTTTCAATTTCATGAAACTTTCTTCTGTTTGGTGTTTGAATGTTTAACCATGGTCAGTATCATGATTCATGATTGGTTATGACTTCATAAAGATTGTTGATTGAAGCCTATCTTTGAGTTCCTATGCTTGAATTTGCCTTGTGTGCACACAGATTTGATTGAATTGCTCCAGTTTTTGGAGTAGCGGTTGTGTTCATTTTTATCCTTTACATTTTAGAAACTCTGCTTTGCATTAGAACAATTGGTTCACTTTTTTATGACATCATATGTATAGATATTGGGTTTAAAAATCCCGACATTGTTCCGAGCGATCATAGGATGAATATTTTCCATGACTTTGGATTTAACGATTATCATGTTGCACTGATGAATATACTTTGGTTTCGACACGAGATTGGACTGAGTTTGACATTCGAAGGATGAGAGTCTCACAATAATGTTGATAGTGTTATCGTCAAGATGAGGTTTATGGAAGATTGATGTTTTTTGATGACTTGAAGTTAGATTAAGGAAAATCCTTGAATGATATGATTGTGTTTGTCGAGAGAAGAATATTTGGCCATGTTCATCAAGACACTCGTATCCATGGTGCATTATACTATACCCCAAGAATGTATACAGTGGCTGAGCAAAATTCAAGTTTGTGATGATTTAAGTCGTAAATGTGGAATATATAGGCACTGAGATACCTTCAAGAAATCGTCTATGGGTACTTGATTGATTATGTGAGATTTCCGTATAACAGAAGTTGACAATCGATTTATAAGATACACTATACTGCGAAATGAATCTGACATTACATATAGTAACTTATTTCTTAATGAATTATGATATTTTTGGGTATAATTTATTTTATTAGTAAAAATATTAACATTTTAGATTGTAATTTATTTCTTAGTGAATCATGACATTTTTTTGTGCAATCCATTTTATTAATAAAAATATTAGTATTCCAGATTATAATCTATTTTTTAGTGAACTATGACATTTTTGACACAACTTTGTACATTATTACATTGATAATTTTCTGATTCCGTATTATAACATTTGTATTCCGTTTTTAACCTGTAAAATAAATTTTTCATTACACCGTTTAAGTTATTTTGAATTAGTTATGACCCTATATTACATATAAATTAACATTTTCAGTTGTATTAAATCAATTTTGTTAAGAAGTTTTTCAAATTTTCCATTTAGACGTTTTTTTAACTTTATATTAATCTGTCTTTCTTTAATAATCTCAAATAGGATTGGTAGCTTGAAAAATGCAGACTGCAGAATGAGTTCACTTGACTCCACAATATATGGAAATGGACCCCCTTCCGAACAGAGAGATATAAATAATTTAATTCCTCTATCTTGTTTTTTTAATTTTATATCTAAAATAAAATCATAAATTCCCTTCTGAATGAGTTGTCTATTTATACTAATTTTAATTCAGATGATTGGATTTTACAAATGTACCTTCTCAAACTTTAAAGCTTCATTCATATTATTAATTATCCTGAAGCAGCCTGAGCCTGCGATGCAACTGTTGTTGACTGGAGAAATTTGAAACACCTTGAACTATCACATTAATCAATTATGTGATCTTATAAAATAAGATAATATCATTTTTATTTCTTATAAGCATGTGTTATATGACCTAATCCATGTAAATTAAGTTAATTAATAAGCATGGATAGACCGAGATGAGTCACACCTCTTATAAATTTTAAATTACTTTATATTTTAAATATTTCTATATTTTTTAATTTGTTATCAAATTTCATACGCTTAAAATTTTGTAACTTTAAACTTGATAATTTTTAATATAATTTATTGAATTCACGTCCATTCAACATAAATTCATGCATCCGTTTCAGTTAGCAAGTGTTGTGGAAATAGCAGAGGATGTTGACAAAATGGCACAAATATGTGTGGTGGAGTATCACAGTCTAGAACAACGTAGAGCACACCAAAACAGAACAGCGAGTCTCCGTCATCAGTGATTGTATGAGTCATCAAATGCATGCGTCATGTTTGTCCCCTGCTCTGACGATTGCATCAACGTCACATCTCAATGCAAATTTATATAACGTGAAGTCATATCTAAAAACTCAATAATTTTAAGGATAAATTATAGTAATGGTCAATAAATTTTTCTAAAGTCTTCATTTAGGTCCCCCCAACATTTAGTTCGTTTGTAATATGGTTCCCGACGTAACCGGCCGTTTGCAATATGGTCCCCGACGTAACTGGTCGTTTGACGTCGTTAGTTCGTTTGCAATATGGTCACTGAACTTTTCAGGATCATGCATTTAGGTCTCTCAACTTTTAAAACTTGCAACACAGTCTTTAATTTCATTTTAAACCCCAAATTCCTTTTCGATCTCAAATTTCCTTTTTCGTTTCTCTCTTCTCATTTACAACGTAACTTTTCAGTCGGGATGAGAAATTCTAATCTAACTTTGAATTATGTGGATGTGTTGACTTGAATAAGGATCCATTGAGAGAAGACCCAACCAAGGGACTATCGGGACCATCAACGATTCAAGGTGTAATGTTAGATACAAGTCATCTCAGGTAAAGCATAGATGTTCGATGAAATGCTTGTGAGAAAAAAATGGGGTTAGAAATGCAAAGCTGAGAAATACTACTAAGATTAACTAAGTATCATTGTTGAAAGTCACCAACAAAACTGGAATTATTTTGTATAAATGACATATAATAATTTCTTCGTTTAGTCCTTGTGGTCAAAGATTTTCCAACAGATGATCAAATATAATGAAATCACAAACAATGCATTCACCTCTCAGTCTCTTGCAAGTGAGGGGAGAGGCTAAGAAATAAACGCAATCGATGTTGCGTTCCAGCAATTCTTCTTCTATTTTTTTCTTTGTAAATAAAAAGCTGAAAGACAGAGCACTGCTTGGATTTATAATTTTACATGGTGAAATATTGAAGAACAAAAACCAAATGAGAGTGCATGTAAGCGAAAAAGACTGAGAGGTGAATGCGCTGTTTGGGATTTCATTATATTTGATCATCTGTTGGAAAATCTTTAATCACAAGGATTAAACAAATAAATTATTATATGCCATTTATACAAAATAATTCCAACTTTGTTGGTGACTTTCAACAATGATACTTAGTTCATCTTAGTAGTATTTGTCAACTCTGCATTTTTAACCCTATTTTTTTCTCACTAGCATTTCATCGAGCATCTATGCTTCACCTGAGATGACATGTATCTAAGATTACCCTTGAATCATTGATGGTGTAACACCACAACCCGTATCTGACCGAATATGAGTCCGAGATGTCACATTAACTTTTTAAAACGATATTCTTATAAAATATCAAAACATTTGAACTCATTTTAAGAAAATACCACAATTTTCTATTAAATTATGTTTCAGTATAAAAATTCAAGTCAAAAACATATTTATGAACAGTAAAATACGGTATGAATAGTATTGTGAACAATAATGAACAATACCATGAACAGTGAAATATTTCGAATATCAATTGTGTATCAATGCACTGCTACAGTAATGTTACAGTAACTTTTGTAAAAATACGTATAAATTCATAAAAACTTAAGCTTTCATCCGTATAAAATTACCATTTACATATACACGTTTAAAACTTTACAAAACTCAATCATATAATTTTACAAAACCAATTTGAGCATATTAGATTCAAATCTTTTATATTACATGCCAACTCAATTCTATATAACCAAATACGTGTAATTCAACTACATTCCTGATATGATCTTCGGTAAGGAGAACTTACCTGTCTTGTTCCTCTTTACTTCTCTTTTTGCTTTCCAAACCTACGTGTGAAACAATCACACGCTAAGTCGATGACTTAGTAAGACATATAAAACATATAATGGAAACCATAAAACATTTCATAAAGAAATACATTTAACATTATATAATTCATACCAAATGCATGAACATTTATTACTATCATATCATTACAAAAAAACATATATCATTTCTGTAACATATACCCACATGCACATATATCCTTATCAACACGTTTAACATTTCATATTCAGAATACTTATTAAATTTCTTTGTTAGCCCATGTACTCTGTTGAGAACTCAAGGTATACAAATACGATAAGGTTGTGTACACTTATGTTGTCACCACATCTCATATAAAATCCACTAAGTTACATATGAAATATGTGTCCCAAAGGACCTATCCATATGTTCTTAAGAACATAAGTAACTGTCCATATGTCCCGAAAGACATAGGTAATTCTGTTCATATGTCCCGAAAGACATATGTAATTCTCTCCATATGTCCCGAAAGACATAGGTAATTTTGTCCATATGTCCCGAAAGAAATAGGTAATATTGTCCATATGTCCCGAAAGACATAGGTAAAATCTGTCTATATGTCTCAAAGGACATCGGTAACCATCGACTCTTGGCATGCCAACTATACTTATAGCTCTCGTATCACACAACATAGGCATTCTATTGCATATCATTTCACATGTTACCATTCCTATCACATATCCATATAGGATTATTATTTTTATCACCTATCATGTCATTTCGCATACACATTTTTTTTTTGGATAAATAAGCTTTTATTATCCAAAGGAAGCAAAGTTGCTACAATAGAACCAATCCAATCAATGGAACAGAAACAAGGGTAACCTATTTACAAACAAAATCATAGTATACCCCAATTGTTACATATATCAATGTTAGAGCTATCTAGTCTATTAATGTTTCTGTTACTTAAGTGAGTACTAACTATTTGCTTGATAGCTTGGAGTACTTCCCCCTCGGTTCTATAGGCATCTCTGAATAGTCTATGATTTCTTGCTCATACACATTTTTATATCACATAAATCTATATATTTTTATCACATAACTTCTTATTATATCATTCCAATCACATAACTTATCTTTTGTGATCATGAAATCACATAACTTTGAATCATGTTTTTCATATAACTCATATAAT